CCGAGGCAATCTCCTTCGATTCCGGTGAAAAGGTGCTAAGCTTTTGTCCGTCATATGACGGACATTATCAGAGCAAGGTACCATCGTCACAAACAAATTCAAGCTAACGACAAGTTTTCTTGACTCGCTAGGTTGAATTTTGCGTAGAGTATATATACCACTTTTTAGGGATTTGCCGGTGAATTTTCTTGACTCGTAGGCTTGAATTTTGTTCAGTATATATACCACTTTTTAGGGATTTGCCGGTGAGTTTTCTTGACTCGCAAGCTTCAATTTTGTTGTGACGATGATACCTTGTTCTGATGATGTTCGTCATATGACGGACGAAAGCTTAGCACCTTTTCACCGGAATCGAAGGAGATTACCCGCTCTGAGGACGATTGGCTTTACTGGAAGATTCATGCTGACGCTGTTTCCGAGGGAATCTCCTTCGATTCCGGTGAACACGTGCTGAGCTTTCTTCATATGACGGACGAAAGCTTAGCACCTTTTCACCGGAATCGAAGGAGATTGCCTCGGAAACAGCGTCATCAGGAATCTTCCAGTAGAGCCAATCGACAGCTGGTCAAGAGAAATCCGCCGTCGTCTTCTGGTGGAACCGACCTTCGAATCTCTTCAACCAACACTTCCACTCGAAATGGAAGTAAGCTCAAAAATTAGTATCACTCGAAAACCAGCCAAACTCCACCGAATTTCTCCAGGAGCCAGTCTGTTCACGTAGCGGCTACGATTACCACTTCGCTCATGACCACCAGAATTCATTAGTTTGCTCAGCCTTGATGAGAAGAGCTGCCGTCTGTATCCGATTATGAAAAGTTTGGTTTCAAAGACGTTGGTGTAGCTTTCACATAGACTGAAGAGGCGAGTGGAAGGGATTTGTAAACATTCACCAAAATTTTTCCAGTTAGCTTGTCCAACTTAATCTGGGTTAGGCCTAAAGTTTAAGTGCCCATTTTCCCAGCATTAGATTTAATTTCAGCCTCAGTTTTCTGTGCCAAACTTTGTCACTGGGCCATTCTGAAATCCTTTTAATTCGATTAATCGACTCCCTTTATAAATTTGTATGGTTTTTCAAGTTTTGACGCCTCTTTTTTGGCGGTGAGCGTCCAAATTCCCTGCTTCTCTTTGACTCACCCACCAGACCCCGTCTTTGAAATCATCTGTAGCTGACTTTCAGGTTGGCAACAACCACCGCTTGCGTTTGGTACCAAGTCGACCTCGTGCGACCGACTCACTTGTCCACCGTGCAAATGCAAGCATGCGCCTACAGATGCCGACACATTCGGCTTTCACTCCATTCTTCTTCTTTTTCCCCTTTTTGTACAACCTTCGCCCCACCAATCAACCTCGGCTGCTGAGCTGTACCAGTCTCCTGAGCGGATACAAGGGGCCGGAGGACACTAGTTTATGTGACCTCAGGTGGTGGGCGAAGTGAGTTTGTGTTCAGACCTAAAAGTTCACCGATTGGTAAGGGCAGAGACAATGGGAGATATGAAGGCTTGGCATTCCACGCTTCGAGTTGACTTTACTTTATGCAACTTAGTCCTGTTTGAAGGTATGAAGACCAAGATGGTGTGACCTTTTGTGTGGTCATAGTCTCCTTCGTTGTATAGATGTTGTTTGACCTTGTTTTCGCAACATGGTCATATTGGTAGAAAGACTTAGAGGAACACACTTAGTCCGGAGTCCATTGTATGCATCATTATTTCCAGAGTAGGACCGTGAACGTAGTACATTCCCAAACTTTTCGCCGGCATCGTCAGTGAGTATCGCCATCCTTAACACCATACAACAACTCATCAAAGAGACAAGTCCTGTTTGATTTCGATTCTGGAAAACCTTCTTATAAACGAAAAATTACTTCGACTAACTCTGACCAATGCGCTCGACCTGCATCCCCTGCCGCTGTTTTAATATGTTTTTCTTACATCGAATTTACCAAAGCAACGGTCCGATGATGGCCGATGACATGCCACAGTTGGCAGAGGATGCAATACGGGATGCATGCATCGAAGACACCTCGAAACCACGACCAAATTACCAAGTTGGACTTTGAGCCTTGTGGCTCGAAGTGAGGAGGGGACTCGATAAGCGGTAATTATGATTTTCTCAAGTCCCGATTTCATATGTAGAGCTCGGGGATTTTATGGTCTTCACCTTAAAGTGTCACACACCTGAGAGATGACAGACATTGAAATCAACGAGGGAACAGAGCGATAGAGGCCAGATAAAGTGTGATTGTGGAGGGAGGACATCAACTTGACTTTAGCTGTTACTATGACGAGTCGTAGCTTGCTGCTGAGGCTGACATGTCTCAATGACGATGCCGACTAGAATGTCGGCGAAATGTCTAGCTATGTAGTGTTGAAGAAAGACATGACAATTATTGCTATATGCATATATATATATATATATAGCAATATGTATAATATTAATAACAGGTGTGGAGTAATTTGCTTAATTGATGTTCGTGTCGATTCATTTGTGTATTCTCATGAATGCATGTATATGTGAATTGGGGCGCATTCGACAACAAAACTCAAGTGATCGTTGTAAATGATTAGAACAGAGCAAAATAACTGCACCAAGTCGGTGATGTCGGAGTGGGAAATCAGTTATATGAGATGTATTCACACTATTTCGTTTAAGGTGAACATTTGCCCTGTGACCCAAGAGCACTCTTGGCAATGTGGCTGATTGGTTAACATGTCAAGCTCACATTCTGCACTGTCATGGTTCGACTCGCGCTGGGGGTCGAAACTGCAGTCCACTCCAGCCGGGATGGGAACA